TGAACATAAAGTCCAAGCTAAACACGGGTCGCTGCGCTTTCTCCTTCGTCTCTTCAAAGTTGTCTTCTCTGCTCTTTGCTGCCTGGCATGCTTCACACCAGGGCGCTCTCGGCAAATGCGTCAACTCATGCGCTTCAATCTCTTCCGGGCTCGGCAAAGCAGGTAGAGCCTCTGGAATCGGTTCTCTCTCAAACTCCTTTCTGATATCCTCAGAGATTTGGGCTTGCGCTTTCACTTTGCTCAGCGCAACCTCTTTCTTCAATCTTTTCCACAAAATCTCCTTCGATCCATTCTTCGAGATATGCAGATACTTGCACGCCGCTTTCATCTCCTTCAACTCACTCTGGCGTGTCAACTTCATTGGTCCAATCACCATCACTTCTTCCTCATCTTCACCAATCACTGGAACTCCTCTCTTCGGTTCCTCTTTCTCACTTTCCTTTTTGTCTTTCGAACTTGAGGAGGTACCTGTGACCTCCATTGGCACTCCTTCTTGTGCCAGTTCTCTTTCAAGCTCTTCCAAGTTCGTGAGCAACCCATAGTCACTCGGTTCCTTCAATCCCTTTTCCAACAAGGTGACCATCACCTCAAACCTTGCTTGAGGACTCGCCCCAAGTTGCACTCTTTCGCGATCCTTCCAGATCTCCGTACACTCAAAGAAATCCATACTCTTCCAATCCACTTCATTCAACACTCTTTCTCCACTTCTTTTCATCTTTCCTAGCAAGGTTGTCCTATAAGGAAAATAATCGCCTTCATCTCCTGCTCCCTCATAGAGTCTATTAGGGAACTGACCCGTTGGGTCAAACGTCTTCCCCATAAACCAATCAAACCTTGCAGGCGTGCCGTCATTTAGCACAAACCAACCATCTTCATCTTCTTTGCTCTTCAACTCATTCTTCAGTTCTCGCTCCAGCCTCACAGGCTGTACCGTCATCTCTTCTCCTTCAAGTCTCCGTATACACATCTTCGCCATTGAGGAATTCCTTTTGAAGTATATCGGTATCCGAACACTTCCTTTCTTCAACCACAATCTTCCATCTTCATTCACCGTACCCCAACCTAGCTTCCACATCTTTCCTACCGCAAACAAAGGTTGGGTGACATTGCCGCAAACAGCACTGTCAGTGATCTTCAACTTCTTTCCAGACTCCTTTGTGAAAACAAACGTCACATTCTGCCTCACAGGCAACGTTGGGATCACTTTCCCTTGCGCATCTTTCAGATGGTACTCAAAGTTCGAAGTTTCTCCGACTTCTTCTGCCCAATCCATAGGCAACACATGGCAGTCAGCTCCACTGTCGAGCACTACCTCACATGCATCCACTTCTCTTGCTGCTCTTCTCACATCATCTCCTTCAGAAACCACTCTCACACTTCTTTCAACTTCTGTTTCCAAGAACCACCATCCTTGATACCACTCCATCAAACCATCAGTAGGTTCTTCCTCGATCTCTTCCACTTCATCGCTCGAAGAGATATCAAACTCCTCAACTCTTCTCAGCTCTCCTTGAACCAAACCTTCAAACTCTTGACACAATCTCACAAAGTTGAGCTCTTCATCCTCATCGTTCCACTCTTGTGTCATCTCAACTCTTCTTGCTTGGCGCGCTGCTTCAGCTGTGATCTGCCTCACTTGACCAGTCTCATTCTTCGCAGGAGGGGCATTGCTAGAGGAACTCTTCTCGTGATCTCCTTGATGGGTTCCTTCCTCTTCTACCTGTCTCACTTTGCCTTTACCTCCTTTTCCTTTTCCTTGATTCTGCCAGCAATCAGCTGCTTTGTGTCCTGTCTTTCCGCATATGTGGCACTCTCCTATGAACTTTCCTTTCCCGTAGCCACCAGCGTCCACTGCTCGTGCATTTCTATAACCACCTTTTCCTTTTCCTTTGTTGTCGTATCCTTTTCCTTTTCCTTTCCCTTTGTTGTCGTATCCTTTTCCTTTTCCTTTGTTGTTGTACCCTTTTCCTCCTTTTCCTTTGTTGTCGTGACCTTTTCCTTTTCCTTTGTCTTTTCCTTTTCCTTTCACTCGATCAATATCCATTGGTTGTGGCCCAGAATAGGGCGTACTCTTCGTTGCGCTCTCCATGTTGAAAGACTGCAAAATGTTCTCCGCGTTCCACGATTGGGTACTCCTTTCATACTCCAGCAACTTTTCCTGATGTCTGCGTACTTCGTCGTAGGGGTCAATCCTATCAGGATATGTTTCCTTAACTCATTTGGCAAACCTTTGAGTACTGTTCCGATTTTCAGATTCTCATCGTAGGGTTTTCCTTCGGACAGTTTTTCGTATTCTGCCACCAGTTTTTCGTAGGTAAGCAGATAGTCTAAGATAGAAGTCCCCTTCGTCATCTGGGGAAAGCTCACTAGAGCTTGAGCCATTGCCAGCCCTCTTGTTCGGCTTGACGGCTCCAACTCTTCAAACAGTCTCCTCCAGACAGAATATCCATCTGGACTTCCTTCTGACTTCAATAACTTCAATGGCCTGTTCCTAAGATACGAGGCCAAAATCGCATACAGCTTTGTACTTCTCTCTCTTTCACCAACTGTATAATCTGCTGGATTTGGTGGTGCCAGCTCCACTTTCTTCAACTCTTCTGCATAGGTGGGATCAATGAAGCCCACAAACACTTTGAAACTGAAACTCCAATCTGGCCACTGTGAAACTTCCTCCTCCAGATTCTTTGGAGCGAACACATCCGGACTCTTCACCAGCTTAGCTGCAGAGTCGTAACTTCTGGTACTTCCTGTACCTGCAGCACTTGCCAAAGCTTGCGCTGCTGCCGACAGGTTCCCTATCAGGGCCTGAAGGGATCCTCCTGCAACTCCGTCTGGTGCAGGCATCGCCATTGGCGTATCACTTGGTGTATCTCCTCCTTGACCACCGTGACCAGGGGACACAGGCAAATCCGCGTCTCCAGCTGGACTTGGCGTGGCCATTCAACTTTCCTTTCTTTCACTTTCCGTGACACTGGGGCCCAAGGCTCTTTTCTCCTTGTATTGGGCTCTTCTTTAGCCGAAGGTCCTGGCCTTCAGCTCCGCTACCATAAAACGCTTTACGGGTACGTTCCGGACCCTTTCACTTCACACAGATATTCGCACTTCACTTTTCCTCGGGCGCACGGCTGTCTTGGGTGCGTCCCTTGAGCCTAAACACCACAGTGGAACATTTGTTCCATACTATACAAAATCATGTGGCAAACAGCTCAACTACAGGATTATAGGGCAACACACTCCTAAGCGAAATGTTTGTTATGTTGGCTGGTGAGTATAGGGTCGTTGCTGGTACCCTGCAGCTTTGGGTGCCTACGAATCTTCTGTTGGCGGTTCCAGGTGATCGGAAGACCCCCGCCCCCGACTCCACGAGCTCCGCTCCAACAGCTTCCGCTGTGCCCAAAGCTGCCGAGCCAACTCCCCCGGCGCTCAAAGCTGTCAAGCCAACAGCTTCCCCCCGGTCCACAGCCGTCGCTCCGACCAAAGCTGCCCAGCCCACAGCTTCCTCCCCACCCAAAGCTGTCAAGGCAACACCTTGCCCCCTGCCGGCAGTTGCCGAGCCAACAGCCTCCTTCGTGAAAGTTGCCGAGCCAACAGGCCCTGCTCCGCCCAAAGCCGAGCCAACAGGTCAGGATTTGTCCGCCCCGCCCAAAGCAGCCCAAGCCGTCAAAGCAACAGCTGTCGAGCCAACAGCTGCCGAGCCAACAGCTGCCAATCCTGACGGGCCAACAGGTTCCCCTCCACCCGAAGCTGTCGAGGTTGCAGCTGTTGCGGTGAAGCCGGTTACAACCGAGGCACCTTGTGTTCCCAAACCCAGCAGTGCAGTGAAGGCTCCTAGCCCCGTAGTGCCAAAGGTTTCAGGCCCACCGCCAGCATCAGCGCCCAAAGTGCCTTCCGGTGTTTGCCCCCCTGCTCCCGCAGCTCCAAGCAAAGCAGTTGCAACGACCAGGGGGACGGATCGCGCGATGCTTGCAAAGGCCCCGGCTCGTGCCCTCCCGCCAGCGCCAACGTTTCACGCAGCTGCTGCAGCCCCGGCTGCAACGCCGATCGCCCCAGCGGAGCCAGCAGTTGCTGCAGCCCGCGCTGCAACGGCGATCACCCCAACGGAGCCGGCAGTTGCTGCAGCCCCCGCTGCAACGGCGATCACCCCAGCGGAGCCGGCAGTTGCTGCAGCCCCCGCTGCAACGGCGATCACCCGACCACCTACGGTTGTAAACCTGCCGCCCCCGGCCTCCCCCAAAGCCGCCCCTGCAGCCCCAACAGAAGTCGGTTTGCCAGCAAACATGCAGATTAATGTCAGCTCGCAGGCTTGGGCCTGCATGGGTTGATCTTTGCAGGATGTTAGAAGCCTTTAGGCTTGAGCCGGGGTCCTTAGGGTATATGTATATGGGGCTCAGGGTTTTTAATAGAGTTTGGAGTATCGATCATATCACCCTAAGCCTTCCTTTATGTACGCAGGGTCGATAAGAAGGATAGGGTTAGCTAATGTTTTTGAAACCATAACCCTGGAAACCCTCGACATGAACCCTCAAATTTCCCAAAACACCCTAGATTTTCAAACGTGTTCTCCAGGCAATTGCTCTGACCCCGACGGGCTATTCCGATCGGCAGCGCATCTATGCTACCTTTAAAAGGTCCGGGCAGGGTTTTTTGTGTGTACAGTTCGCAAGCGTCTGTACATGTGTGTTTGCATGTGTGTGTGTGTGTGGGGTACGATCCTCGTGACGCTCACATGCAATCGGATTCGCAAGGGGAGTCACCAGCGAGACGCAGACATGCGTCCCGAAAGAGATCAAGGATGCTTGGCATGCTGCAGTGCAATCCAAAAGCAAATCCAGCAAAACCGCCCTGTTCAACAAGTTCCTGTCTGCTGGCGGGGACTGGAGCAAGCGCCCCGGCTACACATCCCATGCCTCGAAATACTCTTCTATAAACAACCCTGGGGATTATTCTCACACTTCTAAACAATCCTGGAGATTATTCTCACACTTCTAGAAACATTCATCATGAGGCTCACTGTGTCCTTCACCCGGACGAAGATCGAGTCCGACAAGGGCAAGAGGAAGATGGGTTTCTTGGCAGACACAGGTTCTGCTGGTGTCATGTAGGAATTTGATCTGCTGCTTCGGAAGGCTGGAGGACGAAGCATCAGCTTCGACAGCTTTATGGCGATGAGAACATCGTGAACAGCATTATTGAGGCTCAGGTTCAGGCCGGGCACTGGAGAGAGCACCCGGACTTGCCTGCTGATTCCTCCATGATCCTTTACTACGTTGGGGGCCCAGGTCTTGCTGCAAGCACTCTTCTAGCAGGCTTTGAGAAATTGTACAAACACACTCACTACGTGGCTTGTCCTAGGTCGTGGTTGATTTGACACAGAGCCACGAAGAGGAGGTTTCTGACAAGATGCAGTGGGCCGTGGAGGCCGACATGGATGCTTCCTCGCAGGCGCGGTTTCTAAGTGTACTCTTTGCTAACCTCTATATATATATATATATATATACATACATATATATGTATATATCTTGTATACACCCTATATATATATATATATAGGGTGTATACAAGATATATACATATATACAATCAATAATAAGTAATAACACCGTATAAGATATATGTCTATACATCTAATCCTATCTGTGGAGGCTCTCTTCTATCGGCTGGGGCAGGTGTCATGCTGCTAGCGCCGATACGCATCTAGATATTTCCTGCAATGTGACGAATCGTTAGCTTCATCGAATACCACGCTGGCTGATGACAGTCTGACAGTCTGCAATGTTTTGGATCGTATACTTAAACATTAGTTTACTCCTATCCCCATGCAACTCCTGACAAACAGTAAGACTAACCCTGAAAATCACTAGACATTAATGCCTTATGCCAACAACCAAAAGCCCGAACCTTACCGCCCCATATGCAACAAGCAAACTCTCAGCCCACAAACCCGCGACAGCCAACGACAACTTGCCCAGGCGGCTAGGGACTTCGGCAACTTGGATGACGTTCCTGCTACTTCTTTCGCCCAGCCGATGCTCACACCGGGCAATCGTGGCTGCTTGGGCTTGCCAAGCTCGGGGTCAGCAGATGCCCCTGCACCTGGTGATGAGGGCAACCACGGGAAAGGAAAGGGCAAGGGAAAGAAAAATAAAGGAAAGGGCAAGGACGGGGAGAAGGGGGGCGACAACGGGGAGGTCATCCAGCGCAAGGCTTCCAAAGAGATTCTTAAATGCAACATGAGCATTAAGTCTCGTCTATCATGAGCATCCGTTCCGGGCTCACCATTCACTAAGGATGCCTGAGGAGCTGTGGCCGAGGGCTGACTGGCTCCGCGACCGATTGGAGGCGAAGCTTTCAGAGGCCAAAATGTGGCCGGTGAAGCTGCACAAGTTCGAGCACCAAGCATCCCTGAGCAGCTGGGCTTATAATAAAACCTCTGGACTGTCACCCGCAAAGGCATTATCACAGGTTGCATGCAACCATCAAGGCCACTCCATGGAGACTCACGCCGCTGATTTGGAGACTTCCTATCACCAAATCCAGTCGATGATCAGAGTGATTGAGCTGCATTTGATGCAAGCAGCCTAATGGTTTAAAGGGAGATGTTATCAAAACCCGTAGATCTATATGCCTACAAAACCGGTTGACACTTACATGAATCACCTTTCCGGGCGAACTTATGACAAGGTCGCACCAATCCTGCACCCCCTATAGGTGCATGCTTACAGTACACTTGTATTGTCATATCAAGAAGTAACATGCATGAAAGGTTATGTACTGTTGTCACCGTAAATTATTGACTACAACAAGCATACACATGCTTATATGGGAGTTTCAGAAAATTAGGGGACCTAGCTGATAATTTTCATGATAAGGAACCTTAGAAATTAGAAATTATAATATGGTAACCTGCATGCATCTGAGATTCCCAAATTTGCGCATAAACATACATCTATGTACACGCACACACGTTTGTCAGTGTACGCACACGTGCACTGAGCTGAAAGTATTTCTATAGTCAACGTACATATTGTCAGATAATATTAATGGTTGGAAGGTATTATATACCTTCCAACCATTAATATTATCTGACATTATACTTACAAACGTACCCATACCTAGCTCATCCTCCTCCAGGCTCGTGCCACCATCGATGAGGTGCAAGTCGACGCAGGCTCTCGCCTGGCTGTGGAAAGGCTGCAGCTCTACGAAGAGGATGCACGAGTTGCGACCAATGTTTGCCGAAAGCCCAAGGAACCCAAGACTGGCAAAGGCAATGCCTCTGCCGGTGCTAGCTGAATGTGCTAGGTTACTCATGATGATCATGGTGATGATGCGCCACACATGTGTGCCGCAGGGTTTTAGCATGCTGTGGGTCCGTAGCAGGTAGCAGCTATGAAACCTACGACATTCCATGCTTAACAGCTACAGTTCCTATAGAACCAAGAAGTTGCTGGCAACAGGATCCGCTCAGATGCTTTCGGGGAACCTGTGTTATACACGGGCTATGCCAATTACACGTGGGGTTCACCTCATGCAATCAAAGCCAGAAGCGACTCGCTGTGAAAAAAGGCACGGAACTATATACAGTAGCAGCTCGCATAGGATGGGCCAATCAGTCAGTGACAGTTCTCTCTATGCAGGTCGCCAATCTCATTTCACCAAGCGGTTGCACGAGGACTACAATCCAAGGGCTGGGGTAGTGCCCACGAGCTCATCCTGTACGATCCACTACATATACCTAGAGTCTCCATTGTCGTTCCTTTTTTTGGTTACTCTATTATATATGGTTAGGACCCTATTGATTTGGTTAAAGCAAAAAAGGGAACTACAATGGAGACTATGGGTGTGTGTATATATATATATATATATATATAGTATACATTTATGCATACATATATAAAACATATACATGTTACATACATGCATATGTGTGTAGGGATTACGTGGGTTATCCTAATACAACCATATAAGTCATGAGTCCTATAATTTGACCCTATAATCCATAAAACCACCCTGTTATATAAACCCGAGCGACCATTTACAGTTTACAGACCTGAAAATTTGAAAATAACCCAACCCATGTCGAGGAACCTTCTCCAGCGGAAGATCGTGAGTCGAAGAGGCGATGCCTCGGGAGCCAGGATCGTCTTTCGGGATAGGAATTATAGATAAGTTATACTCAAACCCTAAAGACCATTTTATAGGAACCCTAGATAAACCCTGTATTTAGGAACTCCAATTTGACGGGTTTGCAGGTCACCATAAACCACGGGGACCGCCGGTCGCTCACCCTGTTGTAGGAATGGGCTAACCCTTAGGTACGGAACCCCTGTTTCAGGAATCCCTTAAGCTATAGGGTGCATGACTTATACCTATAGTGCGAGGATCTTGGTTTCGGGGAAAAGCTCCTGGAGGATTTTGCAAATGGACGATGCTCAGCCCTTCATGAGCCTCGGTCTGTATACAACCGTTTGTTTGTACACGCTTTTCTTGTTATCAATCATTCATGTAATCGAGAACATATAACAACGATCGATATCCTCCTCAATGAATCGATCCTTGTGTTTCAGCTTTCTGTTCCGTGCCGGAGGCGAGAGAAATCGCTGAGTCTGCTGTTTCCTGGTGCAAGCAGCAATGTGCTGGAAAGGTGCCCCCAACGGATTTGGTGCGACGAATTTCTCAATGTGGCACAGCCGGCAAGCACCAGTCTAATTGCGAAAGGGATTTGCACCGAGTTGTTCGGAGTGTCAGCAATGCTCTAGATGTGGATATAGATCATATCGACGTTCGCTTTTGGAACCACAAGGAAGGCCAAGAAGTTTGGGGTTCGTTGCCGGTCATCTGGCCGGACAAATTGGCCTCTGCACTTTATGCTCGTGGACCGGGCATATTTCAGCATTGCTTTGCGCCGCGACCCGACGAGATTGAACCATATTGGAAGCACGTGGAACAACATTGTCGATGGTTTGACGATCATCCTGGCCGTCAGGCGGCCAACAGGAAACGACTTCTGCCGTTCTGTTTGTATGGTGATGAGATCAATGCTTTGAAGAATGCCGAAAATGGTTCCATTTGTGTCTTGGGCTTTGGATCGGACCTGGCCTATGGCAACCCGGCCCTGGAGCGCTATTATCTCTTCACTGCACTCTCGGAGCACAACTCTACAGAAAATACCTTTGATGACATTATCAGAGCGCTGGTGCCCAGACTACGGTATATGTTCGATGGGACAGACTTCAACTGGTGTTCTTCAGGTTGGAAATGGACCTACTCCTCTACACAGGGGGACCTGAAGTTCATTACAGACCGTTACGGGTTGCACAACTTTCGGAAGAATCGCATATGTGACCTATGTGATTGTGTCAAAAAAGATGACAACATAGCTATGACTCTGGCTGACTTCAGGGAGACAGCTGCTTACCGAGCTACACACTACACCCACCAAGATTACATGCAGAGTACCACACCGGAGACCCGTATCCTAGATGCAGTTGGTTCTCACAATTTGTATGTTTTGTCTAAACATCCTATACACATGAACCTACCAGCTTGCCAGCCGTTCCCAGGATCTCCGCTCTTCGAACTGGATGGTGTCAACCTTCTCAGATTTCTACATGACCCCTGCCATGGCCAATTGCTGGGGACTGGCAAGAACACCAACGGAATCCTTGATTATTTACTACAATACAGTCGGCCCTACACTTTTGTTTCTATTCTGAACCTTTCAGGGCTATCATGCATCGCCCAGAACCATGGGTATTTAGGGTATATATATATATAGGCTTATAAAGGCACTATTAGCTGCAAGATCGTCTTTCTACGTAGTTAACTAGCTATATATATTTCCAAGAAATGTTTTTTTTCGGATACGCTGAGGCTCATGTCTCACATATCTATGCGAGCGGTCCTACTTCGCTCCGTGGCCGGAGCGCGGAACATACGAGCACATCATGGCCGACATGCTTCGAAAGGCGCATGCAGAGTTTTTGCGATGGGTGAAACAGAACAAGCTTCAGTGCTCCCAGCCTCGCTTTACACCAGCGCGACTGTCGCGCAGGTATCGGGTTATATACCCATGCTTGAGTTCCAAAGCAGCACAATCCAAGATTTTGTCGGTTTGGCTTGCCACGGCGGCTGGCGAGTTTGCAGCGCGAGCAGATGCAACCCCCACAGACAAGGCTGTCAGTGCATGCATATATGCCTATGTGGACACCCTCCGGAGAATGGACGAATATCCGTTGTTGTTGAGCGAAGAGCAATCGGTTGAACTCTACACTTGTGGCATGCGACACTTGCGGCTGTACAGCTACTTGCATCGTGAATCAGCGAAGAGGACCGGAACAGAGGCTATGCGGAACTGTTGGCTGCTTCAGCCCAAACACCATTTCTTTTACCACATGTGTCGTGATTGCAAAGAGCAGCGACTGAACCCCAGCTACTATTCCTTGCTGGCGGCAGAGAGCTGGATCGGATATATTGGTAGAATAAGCAGGCGAACACACCGATCGACGATGACAGCCCGAACGATGCAGAGATATTGCACACTGTTGTTCTTTCGCCTGAGGCGAATTGACCGCAACATTTCTAGTTGATTCTTTCGCCGGGTGCGATTGTTTTCACATGAGCCGTTGAGCCTGCTTGAGCCAAAGCTTAGGGGTGGGGCTGTCAGTAATTATACAACGGTTCCATATCTACCCTTTAGGCCTCGATCCTCACCCACGCCTCATCCTCTCTGAGCTTCCAGCTCGCAGCTCGTGCACCGGAGCAGCGGCGCAGCTGCTGCAGCAGGATCTTTATGGCCGGCGGATAAAGTTGAAGAGTCGTTGGTATATATATATATATATATATATATATATTTTTTTTTTTAATTTATACACATATACTATCATCTTGGGTGCCCTGGTGTTATCTTTGCAATCACTTTAGACAGCGAGTTTTTGTATGGTGCAGATTGTTATGTTTGAGTATAGAACATATATGTTCGAGATTGACTCATCGCGGCTGCAAGGCTGGAGATCTTTCGGGGTTGTTAGGGGCCCTCATGGGGAGGGGTCGGATGCATGGGCCCTCAAGCTTTTGAACCCGACGCCCCGCACCCTGTTAATGCACCTCAAGTTATTAGGACCCTCTGGGTATACAACATCCACTACCGCCTGGCCCTGCCGCTACAGAGCCGAGGCGGGCGGCGTAGCGTTAAAATTACTAAGTATTTGAGAGTGGCTTTGCATTGAAACCTGTCTCATGAAACTGTTCTCATGAAGCCTGTATGTGCTTTATGTCGTAAGAACAAAGCGCATGAATTATGCATGCATGACATGCAGACATACCCACACAACCACAGACCACCCACCCACCCACCCACCCACCCGACCCACCCCCTAGTCCCAGCCCCAGCCACACACACACACACTTGGTCATCCATCGCGCAGCCACTCATCTGTTTGTTTATCAAGCCCTGCTTGATGTATTTCGAAAGTACTAAGTTCCAGGAAGGCTCCGGCTCTGCACGTAGATGGAGTCCCGGAAGAACAGGTCGATATGTGCTTGGCAGCACAAGCTGGGTGTTGTGCTTTTCAGCACCAGGAGAGGGTTGTGTTTTGCAGCACTTGAGTCGGGGTTGGGGGTTGTGCTTTGCAGCACGGTTAGGGTTGTGCATTACAGCACCAAGGGTTAGGGTTGTGCTTGACAGCACCCAGGGTTTGGGTTGTGCTTTACAACACCAATGGTCGGGGGTTGTGCTTCGCAGCACCCAGGGTTCGGGTTCGGGTTGCGCATGGTTGCGCAGCACTTCCTACTGGTAGGTGCTTGCCAGCACCACATTCTTGTGCTTGGCAGCACCAGGGGCTAGGGCTGACTCGACACCCTCAAACCCAATCTTTCAGTCCTCAAAACCCTATAGATCCTAAACCTCAACCCAAAAACCCTTGAAACTACTGCCATGACCCAGCAACAGAAAAGTTCATGGCATTAGGCTTTTTGTTGTTTAGGTTTAAATGGATCAAAAATAATGGAACAAAGCCAAAAATTGGAATTTAGGTTCCCGAAGTTCGGAATTGAATTTAGGTTCCCAAGACCAGAGTTTATAGATCATGCGCGGAAGCTTGGACATGCGCTAACCGGACATAGATAGTCTGCTCATGTCAGCGCCTCCACCGCGTGGCTGAAGATCTGCTGACTCACCTCCTGGAAGCGGCTCTCACAGCCGTCGAGCCTGGGATCAGAGGAAATTCAACGATTCCTTCTGACGATTTTCGCAGCAGGCATGGGCCTTGCGTTCTCGTCGAAACCCTCGTCCAGGGCGACGCCTTCCATCAGCCCCTGCAGCAATCCCTCGTCCTGAGGCCACACAAGGAGCGCTCAAGAGACACATCAAGAAGTGTCTGTGCCATTAATAAACAGGTGAGTGCAGCGAGACCTCAATGGCCACTTGCAGTCGCTCCGTGGCGGACAGCGTCGCGGCCCAGGCCTCCTGCAGCGCAGCGCCGGCGAGCTCCTGGCGCTCAACGCTCAACTTTTGCAACCAGAGAAGAGCAGCGGCGAGCAACGTCGAGAAGCCGCAAGGAGCCTCGGCGCGGAGGAGCCGCTGCCAGGCCTCGCGAAGCGCGGAGGTGTCGGCACCTGCGGTACGGTGCTGCTGAAGAGCTCTGCAATCTTAGCGCTTGAGGCCACATACAGGCCGTGCCTCCACACTGTGAGAAGTTAGCGGCCGCGCGGATCGCCTGCCCGAGCAAGCTCCCTTCATCTCTTCAAAGCCTATTGAAGGTGTCATTCCCCTCCTCGTCACTGTGGTCCAGTGACTGCATGCGCAGCATCGTGAAGGCTGTGTGCTTTTCGTGGGCTCTGAGGAAGCTTTCCAGAAGCGAGTTCCAAAGAATTCGAGTGTCACTGTCGATGTGGGGTGGCTTAGGCATCCGGAGCCGCAATCTCTTGGCTTGCTCCCCCAAGGCCCGCTGCTGCGCAGAGTGCTCCTGCAGCACCTGGGCCGGGTCAGGACTGAAACGACCGTTACGACCGCTACGACGTTACGAGTCCCAGAGTGGCGAGATGCGAGCCTGGAGTTTCTCCATCGCCTGCTTGCGTGCCACCGCCGACAGATCCTGGTCTCCGCCCTGAAGGCGTCGGCTGAGGCCCACTTGGAAATGCTGCAGCGATGCCCGCAGGGCCCGCATCCGAAAAGGCCACCTTGCGTGCATGGCGGCTACTGAAACACAGGAACGAAACGCAACAACACCAGCCACAGCTGTTGTGCGACAAAGCCACAGCTCCGCTGAGGTGTTGTGCCCCAAGTCTACGGCGCGCGACAGCAGCAGCTCTCCGGCCTCCATCGCGACATGATTGAGGTAGCATTCCACTGCATTGTGTGTTTCTACTTAAGCTAATTGAAAATTGGGTGGTGAAGCTGCTACAGCCACTGCGAATGCCGCACCTCCTCGTGCCATGTCAGCACGTCGCGGGAGAGGCCCCGGGCGGTCGTAGGAAGGACTCCTCGCAGGTCCTCTAAGGCAAGGACGGGCGAGGATGCTTACCACGTTACCAAATCTAGGTGATTGGAAGGCACCCACCCACCCACCCACCCACCCACCATCCATCCACCAACAATCCGTCCAGGCATCCGACAATCCGTCCGTGTCAACTTCCGTCCATCCTTGCACGTCCATCCATCCGTCGGTCCATCCATACTGGCATTTAGAATACACGAATGCACATACTTACATACATATACATGAATACATACACACATACATACATCCATCCATACATTAGTATACATACGTACATACATGCATGCATGCATACGTGCATACAGACATTAATATACATGCATACATGTATAAAGAATTATAAAGATGCATACATACATACATGCATACATACATACATATGTAAAACGGCATACACACATATACAGACATTATATATATACACATGTATGCATGCACACATAAGTACGTACACACATGATCATACATGAATACATACAAACGTACACTCGTACATGGGACGTAGAAGCGTACACACATACATACAAACTTACAGCGGTACATGCATCCATTTACAAATACACTCATGCAGAGACATACCTTCGCATACATCCACATACATGGGTGGATGCATACATAGACACACTTACATATACCGTCACATACAAACCTATACATATGTGCATGCATACATACACACAGACACACACACACACACACACACACCTGCATGCATACAATCGTACATATACACAGACACATAAACATATATACTATACATATATACATATAAACATACACGTACATATAGACATATACACATACATTTACATGTACATGTAATGCGGGGGTCGGTTTAGGAATATAGGCTCCTTTAATGCGTCGGCTCGGGGGCTAATTCCGACCACCACCAAAAATTTCGGGGTTCTAATTAATGCGTTTTTTTGGGGGCTGGGGGGATTTTTTGGGGGCGGGGCTGTGCTTTTTGCTGATGGTCAATCTTAAGGCAGCCACGACCTAAACCCCCACCCAAACCCCCCACCCAACCCTAAAACCCTGGCCCTGAAGCCCGAAAATCTCTTGCAGAATTGTTTCGCTTATTGGGGCGTCAGGAATGAAAATCTGTACTACTACTGTAGTACTATTCTACTATACCTTGATCATTGGGGGGGGCTGGGGGGCTGCTGGGGTGAACCGCCGAATCGGGGATTGGACCCTAGCTCAAAAGAGGCCTCTCCAGTACTAAAGTTTGTATAAAAAATGAAGTTTTGGGTCGAATCTGGACCGACCCCCCTTTGGAAGGGTTTAGGGCTTAGGGTTCAGGGTTTGTTATAGGGTTTAGGAGTGTAGGATTCTTTAGGGTTTAGGGTTCGGGGTTTAGGGTTTCAGGCGCTGGCTTTATGCTTTGCTTATTGGGGGAATGTGCTCACTGGCTTTATGCTTTGCTTATTGGTACTATTTCTGTACTATTACTGTATTACTACTGTACTACTGTACTACTGTGGTACTACTACTGTACTACTAGTGTACTACTGTACTACTATTGTACTACTACTGTACTATTACTGTACTACTATTGTTCTACTGTACAAAAAATGTACTACTACTGTACTACTATTGTACTACCACTGTACTACTGTTGTATTACTATTGTACTACTGCACTATTATTGTATTACTACTGTACTACTACTGTACTATTATTGTACTACGGTACTATAATCGTACTACTACTGTACCACTACTGTACTACTATTGTGCTACTATTGTACTACTGTACTGTTATTGTACTACTACTGTACTACTATTGTACTACCACTGTACTACTGTTGTATTACTATTGTACTACTGCACTATTATTATACTACTACTGTACTACTCCTGTTCTTCTATTGTACTACGGTACTATTCTCGTACTACTACTGTACCACTACTGTACCACTATTGTGCTACTATTGTACTACTGTACTATTATTGTACTACTACTGTACTACTATTGTACTACCAGTGTACTACTGTTGTCTTACTATTGTACTACTGCACTATTATTGTACTACTACTGTACTACTACTGTATTATTTCTACTGTACTACTATTGTACTACTGTACTAT